CCCCTCTGGGACACCCCCGCCTGGGGCCCCCCCCGGGATCCCCTCCCCTCTGGGATACCCCCGCTGGGGCCCCTCCCCTCCTTCTCATGGGCACCCGCCCCCCAGCATGTTAAAGAAGTATGGGCTGGATGAATGGACTGTAAGGTGGATAGAAAGCTGGCTAGATCGTCGGGCTCAACGAGTAGTGATCAACGGCTCCATGTATAGTTGGCAGCCGGTATCAAGCGGAGTGCCCCAAGGGTCGGTCCTGGGGCCGGTTTTGTTCAATATCTTAATTAATGATCTGGAGGATGGTGTGGACTGCACCCTCAGCAAGTTTGCAGATGACACTAAACTGGGAGGAGTGGTAGATACACTGCAGGGTAGGGATAGGATACAGAGGGACCTAGACAAATTAGAGGATTGGGCCAAAAGAAACCTGATGAGGTTCAACAAGGACAAGTGCCGAGTCCTGCACTTAGGACGGAAGAATCCCATGCACTGCTACAGACTAGGGACCGAGTGGCTAGGCAGCAGTTCTGCAGAAAAGGACCTAGGGGTCACAGTGGAAGATGACCGTGGGGGGTTGGGGATCCCAGGGGGTGGGGTGCCCATGGGAAGGAGGGGAGGGGCGTGTGTCACGGAGACCCCGGGCGATGCTCTGTAACTGCTCCCCACAAAGCCAGTCAGGACTTTGGGAGCCTCCTCTCCCATGGAGCAGACTGTCTTCAGGGCAAGAAGCTCACATGTCTTCACCTCCTGGATCTCTCCTGGGAGCATTCAGCATATGCCCCTCCATGCGCTTCCCACAGCGAGTCCGCCCAGGCGGGGTCCTGGGGAAGCCTGGGTCCTGCACACACCCCCACTTCGCAGTCAGACGTGACTCTCAGCCAGCCAGTAAAACAGAGATTTATTAGATGACAGGAACACGGTCTAAAACAGAGCTTGTCGGTCCAGCGAACGGGACCATCAGCCCCAGAGGAGCATTGTCTAATAGCCAGATGTTTGGGGTATTGACCAGGGCTGTTGCACGGAATCCCCCAGCCCTTCCTCCCAGTTACGTGTGGCATTGTGGGGTTTTCAGCCAGGGCATTAATGTCTAGATTTGCCACACTACGAATGATGATTTTTAACCCTTTTGAAAACGAACCCGATACCTGCTCACTTCCCAGGTTCTGTATAGCTCTGCCCCTTTCTACTTATTTACCTTTGCATAGCCTCCCCTTCCCTGTCCTGACTCCTCCAATGTTTTCACTCTAGTCTGCCTATGTGTCAGTCTCTCAAACAATCACCTTCTTCCGCAACCCCC